ATGAAAATTGCTGACTTAACTCATTTTAGAAATTACTATTATGCTTTCTATATGCATTTTTCAAAACTACCTGGCTGAGATGTCTCCACCAACATCTGAAGCAGTGCCTTTCCTAGGTTCGTTTCATCCTGCTTCTAACTGAAGTTGGTAATGGCCTAATACCCTCAACCTCTTACAACTGCTTTAATAATTTAAAATAAGATAGAGCTTTCAAAGCTGCATGTGTTTTCATTTGAACTTTTGCGTAAGTAATTGTGAAAGAAGATCTATAGAAGATGGCTTTGGCTTTGGAGTTCTAACCCACAGATAGATGAACGGTTCACACCAGCAACCATAGTCTTTAACACCAAAGTTTAACGGCTAATTTGTGTTCTACAAATTAGACTCACACAAGAAATTTATCATTTTTGTGGTTACTTAGAGATCCATAATAAGATACTGTATCTATGTTTGCCTGAAATCAGGTCTGTTTCAATGGAGTACCAACTAAATTGAATTTCAGGCGCATTTTTTGCAATATGTATGTTTACATGCGCTTGTTGTGTTGTCGCAACTACGTTGGCATTGAATTTTCACCACCGAAGTTCCTATTCTCATGAAATGAACGATATGGTACAAGAACTTCATTACCTAACTTTATATTGCTTTTTAATCAATGATAAGCACTGCTTGATTGACTTTTAGTTTCGTCAACTTATGCTCAACTGGTTGCCGTGGCTGTTAATGATGCACCGACCAGGATATGCTGCGGTTGGAGGACAAATGATAAGAACGGACGACGATGACAGCAATGATGCAAAACCTACAATATGTTTCGATTCTCTTCTTTCAAAGGTGGCCATGCAATCCCCACCTAAGTAAGTTTGCTTTGTTTTGGGTAAAGTAAGTTTGCCTTGGTTCGGATAATTATTCTATGATTTGAGATGTTAGTGATTTCACAAAAGCAAAAGCATTGAGTATTTAATCTCAGAAATGTCCAACATTTTTTCCTTATAAAAGTTTCTGCCAAAATTTTTCGATATAACCATAGAATGACGCCAAAATTCATTGCAAGTTATTCTAAAACAAATATTGAACTTGTGATGGTTTTGTTATGATTGATCGCATTCGTAACGTTTATCGTGACGAAAGCACGTTATCGTGTTATGATCTGTTTTTTCGCATTAGGGATAAAAAAACCTCAATTTCTTACCATTTAGGTTAACAATTGTTGATGAATGTTCGCCTCAGAATGTGGACGATAAGCGACATTTATGGCGCAATGGGTCCAAGCGGCTACAGGAGCGCCCTGTCCTCCAATCCAAACAGGTGAGAAGCAACAATATTGCAGGCGTATGAAAGTTTGAGAAGCTTAAGAACGACTAGGTACCTTGGAAGAGAGAGTGCAGAATAACTCAAGTATTTGGACTTATAAACCTTTGATCTTGTTGATTTTTAGTGCTTGAAATTGGGCGGATGTTTTGGCATCATTACCCCTTTAAAGCCTAGTGATTTAAGTCTGTTAAGACTCCAACTAAGATATTAGCAATCTAGTGCTTGAAACCCAGCCACTCCCGCTACATGCATCAACCAGCAAATAACATCAAAGCAGCCACAGAGGAGCAAATTAATTGTGCATACACTTACATTTAGTTCTTCAGCCTAAAGATACTCAGTCTGGAAAACTACATTGGTATTTTAGTAGGATTAACATTTTTCGCATTTCATACTTTTCAGAAACTTCTCGCAAACCAAAGCTGTTTGGTGTGAAACCAATAGACAGTTAGTGCAGCATCTTAAATCTTCCTAGCTAGTTTTCGCCCGGGTGAAAGACAATAAGAGCTCAAACCGATTTCAGGCAACTCACGAGCAGATCGCTCAATTAGTGCTGCTGAATGAAATCTATGAGAATCTATCGGTAAGTCTTTGATATGCATACTTAACATCTAGTCGTTTTCTGTCGGAAATGTGGACGGGTGGTAAAACGAGGGTATCTGAGCGATGTTCGCAACAGGAAATGTATTCGCCAAGAATTCTTCCAAAATTGCGCAAGCGCGTGCGACACTATAGATCGATTCAACAGATCCTGATTCGAATAAAAACTATGTTGAACCGAAAGAAGATTCATTTGAATCTGATGTGACAAAAAGCTCTCAAGAAGTCTAGAGTTCTTTATGGAGGGAAAACGTAGAGCGGTTTGTCGCAAAGTCGCAGTTGTCTGCGATCTATTTAAAACACAGTCGTTTGTGTATGTATGTGTATGTATGTGTGTATGTGCGTATGTGTGGTGTATGAGTGTGCATGTATGTATATGCGTATGTGTGTATGCGAATGTATTTGAGTATATGTTATATCTGTGTGCGTGTATGTATGTATTTTGTATGGTCCGAATACTTTATTTCTGAACAGATCCGGGTCATATTTCGTACACTTATGATCTAAAGCACTGGTAAGGTAGGCTGCACTTTATCTGGAAAATATTGATTGAATTTACTGATTTATTGGTTATTTGCAAAATTCACTGTAGATAGCTGGGAATTGATCTGAGATAAGTTGATGTGCTGATTACAAAAATGATAACTATCTAAACATTCATCTATTGACTTTAATGATCTTGATTTTTGCAAAGGCGCTGGGGATTGTTGAAGTGGGGTAACTATATACTTTACGAGTCAGATATACATTCTCATTGTAGACTCTATTAATTTATTTTTCGCCCTTTTCGTTTTGAGATGCTGAATTTCTGTACTGGGGTGACTTGGTATCTGATTAGGCATTTGATAATCATTCGAAAATTCAGCAATCCCATTGACTGGTCGATTTTTACGCTCCGAACTACTGAAAACTGGTGCACAATGGCTTGTTTACATGTAGATTACTAATATGATTTTCATTCTTAACAATAACTATTTTATGGTTTTTGGATTTCGTATTCCCTTTCTTTGCTGCCACCAATTAGTAAAGGTCAGTGTTGACATGCTGACAAAAATATTTATATTCAGCCTAGATTCTAAAACATCATATTTAAATGTAATCTTAATAGTTAAACCGTGCCTCCATAGAAAAAATTGGGTTAGAACATAGAAAATTACTGACTACTCTAAACCAGTCGGGCGCAGCCGGATATGCAAGCTAGTACATTGTACAATCCCTAATATCGCATTTTTTGGTTAACGAAATAAGTGAAAGAGTACATTGTTGGCAAAGTAACTGACTAGGCATCAAGAGCGCACGCTGGGTGAAATAGCCCACTATGCCTTTCCATCATAATTGGCGAATACAGCAGCCCAATAGAAGATCGGCAGATCATAAAGAGTAAAGAGTCTCATTCTCAGTCTAAAGGAACATCTTTTGGTTATCCGCTCCTTACCTACTTGATTCTAGGCAATTACCATGGAGATAAAAGAAGTGGAAAGACAAAGAAGTGGAAGATGACTGGAAATTTGCCGCCAT